AATCCCACCTCCCCCGCCCCCTCCCACAGCTGCTCTGCAGGCGCCGGCTGTGCCACCTCCACCAGCTCCTCTCCAGATAGCTCCTGGAGTCCTACATCCAGCTCCACCTCCAATTGCTCCTCCCCTAGCACAACCCTCTCCTCCTGTCACTAGAGCTGCCCAAGTGTGTGAAGCTGTACCAGTTCACCCAGTTCCTCCTCAAGCTGAAGTACAGGGACTTCCTCCACCACCCCCACCTCCTCCCTTGCCTCCTCCTGGCATTCGACCCTCCTCTCCTGTCACAGTTGCAGCCCTTTCTCACCCTCCTCCTGTTCTGCACCCTCCTCCCACCACCATTGTCCCTAGCCCTCATGCCCCCCTAATGCCTCCATCTCCACCATCCCAAGTGATTCCTGCTCCTGAGCCCAAACGCCATCCTTCAACTCTTCCTGTAATCAGTGATGCTAGAAGCGTTCTGCTGGAAGCAATACGGAAAGGTAATGTTTGGCTATTAAGGGCCAAAAAATACGGTCTCAGAAACCTGTTAAATACACATTAGCTTTGAGAGATGGAATATTTCACATGTGTAAGAAGTTAGAGGAATGCATCTTAAGTCTGTCTCTGCTTTCTATTCTCTACAGTGTATGCATTGCCAAGTCGACAGATTTTTTTTCAATTTGTAACTGCACTTATCAGATGTTTAGTTTAGATGGCAAAACTGGTTCTCTGTGGAAGTTAGACTAAAAAAAAAAAGTACATGTGTTTCTAGATGATCTGTGGAGATTATCTCTTCATTTCTGTTCACCTGAAAATGTAGCTATTTCTGATAACGTACAGATTGTGTAGAAGACAAAAACATTATTTTTCACAGACTGTTAGATAAAAGCAGATCAGATCAATTGGCATTGGAATTTTGATCATATATCAGTGTATTCCAGCAACATATAAATGACATTCAGAAATCATTGCTTAAGACTTAAAGCTGTTAAGTACCTAATCTTGACATGTCTCAACGCAGTAGTGAAGCAGCCTTTACATTGCAAGGTGCCCCGCTGGCAGAGGTGCAGGGCAATGTTTTCTGATGATCTAGCGAGGAGCTGTACGTACAAGCTGTACCTTTCAGCTTATGTGCCTATGGCCAGAAAAATCCCCACTGCACTGTGAGTGCTGCTGTTTGACTGTGCGGTGTCTTTGAGTAGTTAATCTTTCTCAAATGTTTCGAGTACTACATCCTTCTGTTTTTCCCCTGCGCCTACAACACAGTACGGAATCTGTATGGTACTGTAATATCAGTAGATAGGCTATAATACTAATTCAGAATATTTTTAAGGCATCTATATGGACATGAATTGATAGCATCATTGACTCTAAAGAAGTATCACAGCAGTTGAGTACAACAGTGGTGCATGAACATTAGCAGAAAATGTCAGCAAAAAACATAATAAAGGAGAGCCTGCTGGTATAATTTAGGTGATTCCTGAGAACGCTTTTGACCAGGTCTTGCACAAGAAACAAAGGCTCAGGTTACCACAGCTTGAATTCCACTAAGGACCTGTGCTTGTGTTGCCTGTCAGTTGACAACAGAGAGTATTAAGTACAGGATGTAGGTCGTATTTAGACTGTGTCAGTCTGCAGTGTCGTGAGTATAAAACCAAAATATATAATCTCTGTCATGTTTTTAACTGAGTTACTGGATTTAACTTTCTCAGGCTATCAGTATGAGTTGCTGCCCCTTTCTGTTTGATCTTTAAGTAATACTTTATCCCAAAACAGATCATTACATGATCAAAACTGAGTTACAAAAAAATCCTACCTTGTTAGGATACTCAAATAGCTATACCTTTTAATTGAGACCACGAAGAGAGAGTATAAAAATTGTTTGGAAATGCAAATAGTAAAATGGCTGAATCACTTAGTGGTCCTAAAAATGTGGGTGTGTTTTTAATGGGAAATCAGAAGTGGGGTATTATAGTAGAAGGGATGATGATCTAGTCTGCCATTGCAATTCTGACATTCGTCTCTTTAGAAACTTGACAGAGAACTTCTGTCTGAGGAGGGCGATGTCCTCAGCCTTAATTTTTGCTTGCGAAGCATTTTGTGAATCATGAGCTAAATACTTCGTATAATGATAAAGGAGGAGAGTAACACGTTTGTGATTTGATGTTCTTCAGGTATTCAGCTACGCAAAGTTGAAGAGCAACGTGAACAAGAAGCTAAGCATGAGCGCATTGAAAATGATGTTGCTACTATACTTTCTCGTCGCATTGCTGTGGAATACAGTGATTCAGAAGATGATTCAGAATTTGATGAAGTGGATTGGTTAGAGTAAAATTATTACATTGCTGTACACTGCAAAATCGAATGCTAATGTCCATTGTGGTGCTTGTTCTTTGAAAGTTTGATGGTCATTTCTAGTGTTTTTTGTATTCTTTTCTTTACATAATTAATCCATGTTTTTCTACTTTTCAGTTTACAAAAAGCTCCTAGTGCATCTTTGAAACTAAATGTTTTACAGTGGCTTTTCTTACACATCTTTTTTGAAAGAACATACTTTGTTCCAATAGACCACTAAGTATTAAGCATGGGCAGCTGTTGGTAGAGTAGCAGTTTCAATTTTTTGGCATATCTTAACTGTGCACTTTGTGAATTTTAAGTTAATGAAGGCAACTGAGATTGACATTCCAAGGGCAGCTGTATGTACTAATGAGCCTTATTCCACTTCCGATAGTGTTTTAAAACATTAAACCTAGCTATCAAGATATCACTGCCTCGATTACATCTCTACTCTAAAAGTACATATAGTTAGCAGCACTGAACACACTGAAAGGAAAATGGATGTTTGGGGGTTTTTATTATTGTTTTATTGTTGTTTTTAAATAATTATGGCCTTATTTGAATGTTTAGAGATTCCCCTTCCCTTCTTCCCTCCCAGGTACGTATTGTGTGGTACTATTTTTGCCTGCATAATAAAAGTTTAAATTTTTTTTCCTTGTGAAATCTTTTGACTTAAACATGCTGTGTAACTTATGTAACTGTTAAAATAACAGTTTGATTTAATAAATGGTTCATTTTAAATGTTCCTGGTTGTTGCTTTTTCAGTGAAGCCTGCTTTTCAGTGGTATGCCTGAGGGATCCTTGGATTTCAAAGATTTAATCTGTGGTCTACAACGTTGTAAGTATTCTTCACTTGATCTAAGGACCCATATTAAACAAGAAAACATGTATCGTCAAATGATATCTATATGCATATCTACCAAAAAAAGCTGAAATATTACTGTGATCCATTAGTTAAAAAAAAAAAAAAAAAAAAAGGGGAGCTTGTGGCTCATATGATTTAGCGTTGGTTTTTTTTTAAAAATAAAACTACCATCAATGTATCTTGAGAAGAGGAGATGCAGGAGTCAAAATCATGGCTAACGAAAGATGACAAAGAACAGGGACGATACTGCAAAGTCATTTTTTAAGTGCTGTCTAGCAGTGTACTGCATGTCGCGCAGGGCTTTTGTTTCCCTTCTCTGGAACAGCTCCTTCAAGGCTGAGCACGTAGTCAAAAGCCTATCGAGAAGGGAAGCGTGAGAGAGTGCAAGAGCACTCTACCTTGCGAACTCGTTCCCGGAAGATGGAGTTGTACAATAGAGGAAAACAAGTGGTGAAAGTCCGAATGAGACTTCTGAAGGTGGAACGTGAAGTGTTCCACAGTCTACGGAACAATTTAGAGAGGCATGCGGTTATTAACCTGCTCTTGGGACTGGGCAAAACTCCAGAGGTAGGAATAGCCTACAGCAACGCTTCCAACTTCGCTGTCACCATCTCAGCCTCCGCTATAATTTTGTAGATGGCCTACTATATTCCACACTTCTTCCACTGCAACAGTAATGCCTTTGTTGTGTTTGTGGGAGAAAAATCATTGTCACAATTTGTGAATCTGCATCTTTATAACTATGGATGCAGTTCTTCTCTACACGCTATTCTCTTTGATAGTTGTCTTCACAATAAAGCCATCTGGTTTATTCTGCCGTTCGCAGTTCACTTTCAACGTGCGTCTCCTACCTAATAGCTCCTCATAAGCGTTAAAGAAAAGACGTCAGAAGCACCGCTGCATGAATATTTGATAGTGTTTAATCTAGGTGTTTCCTTGGATCTTAATAATCCTAAATTGCCACACCTGGCCCAATAACTAAATGTGAGAGATCTCACTTACGCAGCTGAAAAGGATTGATCTCTTCAAGCAGAAGTGCAGTACAGATACCTGCAGCTAACCTTTAAGGAGGGAGCCAGATCTACACTTTAGGCAGCTGAGAAGAAGAGCCTGTGCCTAAATTCCATGTGTAGGTAGTTCTGCCGTTCACAAAATTATATTTCAACTGATGTTTATACCTGTTCCTTGCTGAAGTCTCTAAACTCTTGATTGCCCTGGTGGATCTTATAGACGGCAGCCTACATTGTCACTTAAAGGGAGCAGCAGGGTGTCTGTGCCCAGGCTGTAACTCTCCAAAGTAGAGGATCTCGTCACGCCGGCACTGTAGGCATGCTCTGAGTGCGTCCAGGCCCTGTGAACTGGGTATAACTTGCCTAAAGCCACGAGACGAGCTAGCAAAAAAAAAAAAAAAAAAGAAATTATAAAAAAAAGAAATGAAAGAAAAAAGGCCCTTACATGACTGCGGCTATCACATATTGGACTTGAAGGTATAAAAAAAATCCTTATTGACAAATGGTTGTTATTGACCTGCTTTGCTGTCCCGGTGATTAATAATATCCCTTCCAAACCAGCACCCAGGGCAGACAAAGCAGTCATTTAATACGACACAGTCACACAAAGTAATGAACCTTGTCTGAGAAAAGTCAAGAGTTAAATTCAAAAAAAAAAAAAAAAAAAAAAAAGAAATTATAAAAAAAAGAAATGAAAGAAAAAAGGCCCTTACATGACTGCGGCTATCACATATTGGACTTGAAGGTATAAAAAAAATCCTTATTGACAAATGGTTGTTATTGACCTGCTTTGCTGTCCCGGTGATTAATAATATCCCTTCCAAACCAGCACCCAGGGCAGACAAAGCAGTCATTTAATACGACACAGTCACACAAAGTAATGAACCTTGTCTGAGAAAAGTCAAGAGTTAAATTCAGTTAACATTTCAAAGGCGGGAGCCTTGGCCTTCTGCCATCGCTACAGCTTTCTGCCATAGCAACTAGTCTCCAGATAGCAATAGCCTGATTCACTAGCGGCGAGAGGTAATTGTTGAATTTGAATATTTGCATTTATAGATCTACTCCAAGCGATGCATTTGCAGTCTCGGTGATTTGTGTCCCTCTTCCCGTGGTCTCCAACTGCCCTTCTCATTTGGTGGAACGCTGTGCAGAGGGCTGCTGGACTGTTCGTGCCGGTGATTAGATGCGTAATAGGTTATTGATTGCTTTGTCTTGTAAGGTACTAAATCAAATCTTCTATATCGAACTGTTTATAGATTCTGTTGTTTACTTCTGTGCATTTACAGCAGCTGGTTAAAATCAAAGGCTCAAAGCCTGCTGCAGAAATAACGTGTCAGTAATCTTCAAGTGAAGAGAAACCTTTGTTCAACTTCACACGTTTCTTGATCTGTAGTCTGGGACAGTTAAAAATGGTCTACCTCTCCTACTGCAAAACGGGGAAAAAAAGAACAAAATAAAAAGTGCAGAAAGAAGAAACAAAAGGTATGCGGTGGCAGAACCGGAGCAGAAGACTAGGGAGGTGCAAAATTGGTCACCTGGGGTTTTTATCAAAAGATAAAGTAGTAACAATGACACAGCCATCATGGACAGACCAAAAATAAATAGCTAAATGGAACAGAACAAGTACTGAAGAAACAAAAATGACAGAGAGACATAATGCTCGTTCTTTTTTTACCGTTACATTGTGAACAGCAACCATTGAATACCAGATATCATTAAGGGATTATGTAATCTGCAATTAAATTGGTATTAAACAAGCAGGAGGCATTTTAAGACGACCTTTAGTCAATAAAATCATCCTTCCCTGCATGTGGCACAGGGGTGCCCTCCTTAGCATTCAGGTGGATGCTGACATACCACCATTAACCATCTGATGAATGCACAGACTAATGCAGAGTCGGCTTCAAAAGGTGCCGTGGGACCTGGGCGTGCAAACAGGTACCGACAGCCCTCGTTTCATTGCGACGGGCATTCCCCACGATGCTGGGACCATCTCAGCTTGGGAGCAGTTGCCATCCCTGCAGCGCATCCCCGCTTGCTTTACCTGGTGGCTGTGAGCCCTCGGCCTGCTCCGAGGATGCAGACAGAAACACAGGGCTGCCGCATCTCAGTCTCCCCAGCCCATGGATCGCCATGGCGAGCAGGGAGTCAACACCAGCTTTGGAGCATGGTGCAGAAACCCCTGCCCAACAGCCAGCTACAGCTCTCCACAAAGTTGCTAGCTCCAAGCAGCGTGCACATAGCAGTACAGTACCACGTCAGCAGTCCGAGCCCCGAAACCTGGCGTTAGCACAAACTAGAGCAGTTCCAAGAGGGGAGACCGAGGCGAAGCCTCGCCACAGCCTCTGCAGCTGAGGTCTGCATCAGCAAAAGATCTGACGGAAATTCGACTCGAGCTCCATCAAGTGTCTGTTCTGTCTCCTCAGCTACAGGGTAAAGGGGGAGAGTTTTACTCTCCCTCATTCTCTTTTGCAGGTGGCAACATTAAACACCAGGAGAGGACTCACAACCGGAGGCCAAGGGCAGCAATAGTGGTCTCCCTTTTTGGGGCCACTCAGCCGCTTTTCCCTTCTCCTTTCTGCTCCTGACTACTTTTCCTGCTTGAACAATTCTCGGGGGCGGTAGCCTGCCTGTAGGAGACTTTTCACACACCCTTTGTGGCTGCAGCAGACCTTACCGATTCCCAGCTGCTTCTCGGGTACATCATCAGCCCTTGGTAGACGTTAGTGCCCCCCGTCTGCCTCTTGAGCTGCTTGGGACAGCACTCCCTCACCCGATCCAGCCGTAATGAGCTGGGGTAGGTTAAAGTGCTTAAAAAGCAGGTTCCTGGCAGCCCAGCTTGTTTCGACAGCAGGCATCCAGGGAGCGCTCCGGTGAGCGACTTGGCTGTCAGCTCTGAGGGCTTAATGAAGGTCTGGCAGCGCACCAGCAGGCAGCTGCGGAGGAGCAGGCGGGAGACGGGAACCCCATCCCAGCTGCTGCTAGAAAAGGACACATGGACAAGCCCTGGGAAATGGGTGCTGGGGTACAGAGCAGACCCCAGGAGGCTGGAGCTGTGCACCCCATCCCGTTCCCGTTGGAGTGACAAAGCCTGGGCTTTTTCTTTGATCCCTGCCACGCTACGAGCAGATGTGTTCCCCCCCGCCACCGCCGCTAACCCCTTTGCCTGGAGAATGGGCTCTGCCACCTTAGTCATCGCTTGCATTCCCCAGCTGCCAGCAGCCCCTGACAGCAGCAGCCTCTAAAGAAAATTGCATCTGTCCCATTTCTTCGAAATTCTTATTTTTAGAGTATTCGCAAGCTCTGGGCAGTAGCTACCTTCCTTTTGGCAATTGGAAACATCTGGGTACGGATTGGAGCAGATATCAAGCATCTCTCGCCAAACAAGGCTGAATATCCCCCCCCCCCTTGTGTTTCTTTCTCTGATGGTTCAATAGCTTCACTTTCAGACAGCAGATAGCTGAGGGCCCCCCCTACAGACAGGTTGTTTCCGTTTTCCATCCCCCCCATTTTAATGACAGTGTTGTTGCAAAACCTGCATCATTTTAACACAGCTTCATGGCAGTATGACTCCAAGAAAAGCTTCAAAAATTATCTCCCTTCAGTGCAGTTTTATACTGCATTTTAGCCACCTCCACTCCTCTGCGAGGCCACAATTTTAAAATCTCAGAACCGGACTCCTTGGGGCCCGCCCAATTTCTCCCGTGGAGCAAGCACCCATGCTCATTATCACAGCTTGATTTTGCACTTCACTACTAGACGGGAATACCTCCAGCAAACTGCCCAGGACTTCTAACGTCATGAGAAAGCAGCGTGCAGCCCGGGTGTTGGCATGTCGGTGTAGCTTCAGCTGCCCCTTTGTGCCAAGCA